CCCCGGAGGGAGGCACTGGGCGGTCGGCCAAGCGGAGCGGGGTGAGTGGGCCCGGCGGGAGGGAGCCGCAGCCCGAGGGAGGGACGCCTGGCCCCGGACGGCGGCGGGGCCCGGTCTCCCGGGAAGGGGAGGAGGGTGGACGCGGCCTCGGTCGGTGCTTTTCCCCGGTCTCGACCCACTGACCCTGCGCCCGGGTCCCATGGCTGTCAGGCCCCGCGGAGTGCTCCCGCTGTCACACGCACAGGTCGCTACCTCCGCCTTTCTCCTCACTTGTGCTTGTCCCAGTTCTGGAGAAACCTGAGGGGTTTTTTTGTTTTTTGGGTTTTGGGGGGTTTTTTTGTTTGTTTTTTTTTGTTTTTTGTTTTGTTTTTATTTTTTTGAAACTCACTTCCCCTACTCTGCATTTGCTGCTCCGATTCTCTGAAACCTGACGCTACCCGAATATGGTGACAGGAGGGTGTAACCAACTCCTTCCAGCCGGGCGCCTGACCCTGCCCACGCCCGCGGGGCCAGAGTCCTCCCCAGAATCTGCTGATCCTCGTGCCCTTGGGCTGCTCATTTATAGAACGCGGCCCTTTCTCGGCCCAAACGCGCGGCTACTAAATAATCCGGTCAGCAGGTGTCAGGCCCCCCATGGTTGAGAAAGCCGGAAAATGAAATCCTTAGAATCCTTGTCTACTAAACCAGGGATTATCTCGGAGCCAGGAGAAACCAGGTTATGGCTGACACCCTAACTGCCCGGTTGACACCCTAACTGCCCTGCTGGCTCTGAGAGGGGACATTTTAGGAAATTAAGGCAGAGATTTGTACCAGCACTTTCTACAGGTTTTCTGTCCGTGTCAGGATAGGCTCATATCTGGCCCAGTGGGCTCTGCAAGAAAAACTTTCCACCAAGGGACCCTGCTGCTGGGGAGATGGAAAAAGAATAGTGTTGAAATAGGTGTCCAGATACTGAGCTAGAGGTCAGCCCTGGGAATTTGGGAAAGGAAGTAGAGAACAAGGAAGCCCTCAGGTGAAAAGTTAAATTGGTGCCTTGCAGATAAAAATGAAACAAATACAGGGACTGAAATTCAGAGCTAAAATGGAAGTTTCCCTCTGTTGCTTAGTAAGGAATTTTCCTTTCTCATGAGAAATCCATGAAGAGGAAACCCCTAAGCTGGAAGTTAGTCCAAGAGGGTCCCATGAGGCATCTTTGGGTTTCGTTTGGACTTGCTATGCCTTGGGTAGCCTTCCCACCTACCTCTTGTCACCTCTTGTCACCTACCTCAGTTCACAAATAAGCAACTGTCATTACCTATCCTGGGCTTCTGGGTTCTTACACTTAATAAATGGATGTGAAGGAGCCAGGAGAGTTACCAAGGTTCTCAACCTTTTCTTGGATACCTCTCACTGAGTCACAAAAGTTCATGGTGGTACCCAACAGAAAGGAACTGCAGCGTGACTTTCTGCACCTCCCCTATCACAAAGGAGTGGGCCTCTGCCTCTCCTGACATATGCAGAGAAAAAAGAACCCACAGCCTGGACCTGTGCACTGCAGGATTATTGTTAAGAATTGTTTTGTCTAACCTGTGTTTCCTCTGTTGCAATCAAGAACTCTACGTCGAAATAGAAAATCTCTCTTTTTTTCACTGGGAGCCTAATACATCAACCTTTCCAAGGCAGGGAGGGCAACGACTACATCCTGTTTTTAATTTTTCCCCAAGGCCAAATTTCCAATCTTTCTTCATTTTTGTGTTTTCCAGTGAACACACTCTGACTTCTCTGTAACATTCAAAATTGAATATATTTTTCAAAGGAGCTTTTGCGATCTTTCCTGTGTTTCAAATCATGGGGCTGTCAATTCACTCAGGGTTATATTAGAAGCAACTGCTTCTTCTTTTGCCATCTGGTCCACAGCCTTTCTTTTTTATCTTTCTCAATATACATCAACTCCTCATTAACTAACAATATCTCTTACTTGTTAGGGTTGCTTTGGAGTCTTACCTCTACTTTCCAAGTTACTTGGCTTTCTGCCGTAATTATTACCAGGTCACATTTTCTACATCAGAGTGAAAGCTTATCTGCCTCTCTGTTAAGATTTGTCCTAACTGAAGCATCTGAGTCTGTCTCATAAAAGAGGTGTGTGCTTGTGACACACACACAACCCTTTGGCTGGTGTGTACTTGTAGTACCTATTTCGTTCTACATTAACTGGGAATGTTACTTGTGGCAGAAAATCTTACATGTAATTTATATCCGTATTTGTTGAATGCAAATCTATGTGTGTCACTTTCTGCGTTTCCTGGTTGCTTACATCAATGTATTTTCAGTGGTTGAAATTGAAATTCAATAGAAAGTTTTGACCTCTGAATTTTCAGGGCTGTCCTTTTTTTTTTCCCCAAATGGTCTTCCAACCCTCAGGGTTCTGTTTTTACCATGAGGGCCAACGTAGCCATTACGGATTTTGGTTGAAAGCATCTGCTAATTTCTTAGGTCCTCCAAGAAGCCTGACTCAAGTTTAGTTCATTGGGACACATCAAGATTTTGAAGTTCATCTTTCACAAGCTTCTCTTGCCAGTTTAATCTTTTATCTCCAGGTCTATTCTCTGTAACTCTCTTACGACTGTTACCCCTTTCTGTTTTCATGGACACAGCTGATATGAATTTATTTCAGGTCACAATTTGGGTTTGTAGCAAAAATGCTTTCAGAACAGACAGCAGCCCTGGGGACAGGATGGGAGCCAATGAATGTCCAACTGGATGGAGCAGAGCCCCAGATGGAAAGGAGAAGCCAGGAAGAGGGGCCATGGAGAGCAGCCCAAGGGCCACTGGAGCACCTGTGCTGTGACCTTGAAGAGGAGCCACAGACCCTTCAGGAGAAAGGTGAGAGCCGAGAGGGGGTGTGTGAGAGGCCTAATGCAGAGTAGTCTCCTAATCTCTATTTAAAAAATAAAGACTTAAAAATTCCAGAATTGCCATGGACTGAACAGCATAACTAATACCAGGACTAATCCATTTTTCCTGGGCCCTGTTCACAGAATTATGAGAAGCTCTTGGGTTCTTCAAACCATATAACTAACCTTCCTTTTTTTTTTGGCATAATCACACCCTCCACATGGCTGCAAGTGCATGGTTGGTAATATTGAATGTGGGAGGCAAGGGAAGAGATAGCATATCTCTTAGAGCATATATCCAGTGAGATGCACTTTACTAAGTAAAGTGGTATTCAAGTACTATAAATTCAACTCATACCTGACTAGAAGAGATGGATGACAAAGCTTTACAAAAACACTTGAGACCTCACCAACCATTTTGAGTAAAGGTTTCTTTGACTATGTTGATGCATTTGAGTTTTACCAGTGGGCGTAACAAGAAAATGTGTAACTCTTAAGCCCCTTGAAAGCAGGCTCATGCACTTAGTGTGAAGGGTCGGATGGTCCATCTCTAATGGTTCCTCTCTACCTTCACCAGCTCAGTCGGCTCCCTGGGTTCCTGCTGTTCCCCAGGAGGGGAGCACCGGAGATTGGGAGATGGCAGCTGCACTTCTTGCAGCCGGATCACAGGTGGGCTGTGTGCTTCCCTTGGCCTCTCCCAGGTCTCATCATGCTGCTTTTCAATAGCCTTAGCATCATCCCATTGATTCATTATTTCACCAATGACATGCTCATCTTACAGTTGAACAGATTTTAGCCCTTTCCAAGGGACTCATAATACCTTTGAAAAAAATTAATGGAAGCATAATGAGTAAAGGGGTATTTCTTGAAGGTTGGTTTTTTTTTTTTTTTTTTAATGAATGGCTGTGCTAGCAACGGAGGGGTTTTAAAAGTAATTCATTAATATCCTTTACGAAATAAATAAGGGTAGGGGGAAAAGATCTGAAGGAAACTTGGAAGATATAATGTGGACAAGATTAGTTAGATAATGGAGCATTTATGAAAAAGAAGATTAGAAGAGAAAGATGTAAATGGGCTGAGACACAGAGAGAAAATCAGTTTAGATGCAATAGGCAATGGGAGAGGTGTGGAATGGTAATAACAATCACTATATCACCTTCCATGCCATTCTCTGAGCACTTTTATGTAAATTCATTTAATCCCGAGAGAAGAATAGTAATTCCCATCTTACATATGAGAAAATTGGCACAGGAAGCCATTCAGGCACTTGCATAAGGCCATACTATGAATAAGGGGCAGAACTAGGAGCCATACTATGTTGCCTCAAAAGATAAGGATATGGCATGATAGAGGGAGACAAGAAAGAACGTTCTACTTGTATCATTTTGTGTAGATAGAAAAAAGGAAAGATCAAGCAGAGGAAGAAGGAGCTAGTAGAGTTTCTGCTGTGAAAACAATAAGGCAGAGGAAAGAGTGGGCAGAAACCCATAGGGAGAGCAGTGAGTTGTGGTGCTGCCTCCTTCTCAGGGCCCCATTTGGGAAGCTCCTCTAGAGACACTGACCATTGCGTTTTCCCCTTTCCCTCTACCAAAACTATGTGACCTACCCAGGGAATCTAGAGTATTTTTTCTAGAGATTTCCTTACCCTTTCTCTACTCAGTCTTTTACATACTGAGATCACATTTTCCTTAAGGAATATGTGCTGACAGATGATGCTATATTTGCTGACAGATGATGCTACATTTCTGTTTCAGGGACTGGTCACCATCAAGGATGTGTCACTGTGCTTCTCTCAGGAGGAGTGGCGGAGTCTGGACCCTTCTCAGACAGACTTTTATGGAGAATATGTCATGCAGGAAAACTGTGGGATAGTGGTCTCTCTAAGTAAGCATGACATTCCCAAGGAGGATGGACTGTGGGAGGAGGATGGACCATATGCTGTAGGACTGTTAGGTGGGATCTGTGTAGGTTCTTCCCTTGACTAGGAATCTTTCAGGGCTTCTACCAGAGAAACGAGATTAGGGCTAATCCAAAGAGAATGGGAGTGAAGTAGCATTATTTTTATTGTTATAATAGTTATTTTTTATCATTTTGTGCCTTTTTCCATCTCAGTTGTAATCCCCATGGATGAAGTAGCATTTTTGAAAAATAATAATAAAGTAATGTTGAATTATGGAAAAGAGAACTTTAGGTTCTTTTGGGGTGGGAATTGATATCTAAGAGATGGAACAGAATCCTTGGAAACTTAGTGACCATCTAGGCAAAGCTGGGAGTGCAAGGGGTGGGCAGACTATATTCAGACTAGTTAATTAAGTTATGATCAGAGACGAGTTGAGCTGAAAATATTTGAAATTTAAGTGGAAAAGAACAGACTCACTGGGGAAGAGAATGTGACTTTCTAAAAACAATAAAGAGAACAAAAATGGGGGAGGTGGGGAACAGTCATCTGTTTATCTGCGATTGTTTTATTCAGAGTTTCAAGGAATAATCTAGGCAGCTATTTTTTGATATCTCTATTTTCCTTTCTTATGAACAGGATTTCCAATTCCCAAGTTGGACATGCTTTCTCAACTAGAAGGAGTGGAAGAACAGTGGGTCCCTGACCCCCAGGACTTAGAGGAGAGGGATATCCTGAGGGTCACATATACAGGTAAGGACCTAGAATAGATGTTCAGCTACTCCCATCACCCCCTTTTGTAGTATCATCATTATTACATGTCTCTCTAATCTCTCCTCTGTCTAAAGGTTTTACTTCAAAAGCAGGACAGCCTATAAAATGGTTTAGAGAGAGGTTCTGGAGCCAAACTTGGATTTGAATCCAGTACCATACCTGTGAGACTCTGGGAAAGTAACTAACCTCTTTTGGGGCTCCTCATCAATACAATATTTGAAATTTAAATAGGTTAGCAGAAGAGTGTAGGCTCAGTCAAGCCCTCACTAAATATCAGTTGTTCTTATTGTTATAAGTGATGTTATTGTTCAGTCTCCCGTCCTTGTCAAGATGCTGTGCATGGGGTTCACCCTCCTGAGGCAGCTCAGTAATTCTCCTCAGCTATATATGGGCACAGAGACAATGATTAATCCTAAAAACAGAGATGGATAGCATAGGCTACTTAAAACAGAGATAACAATAGCATAGGCTACTTACTGAGTGCTTACTATGGACAGTTCCTATGCTAATAATTTAATAACATTTCTTATAATTATTTCCATTTTACAGAAGAAAAAATGAAGGCTTACAAAAGTTAAGTATGAAAGCTGAGATTCAGATTTGGGTAATCTGGCTCCTACGCCTTGGCTTTTAACCTCTATACCTCTTGCACTGTCTTGTACAACATTAAATTCTATTCTCCCAGCCCTTCTGTGCTAAGGTTTGACTCCTGACATGCATCACAACCTCCCTCTTGGGTCCTGGGATACTATCTTATGACTTCCCTCTTGGGGTCAGTATTTTCCCTTCTTCACAGGAGATGGAAGTGAGCATGAGGGGGATACCCCTGAACTAGAAGCAGAACCTCCCAGAATGTTATCTAGCGTGTCTGAAGAAACTATTCTCTGGAACCCAGAGCAAGATGAGAGCTGGGATTCCATGCCCAGGAGCTCCAGAGGAATGCTTCTGGGCCCACCTTTTCTTCAGGAAGATAGCTTCTCCAACCTTCTATGTAGTACAGAGATGGATTCCCTGTTAAGACCACACACATGTCCCCAGTGTGGCAAACAGTTTGTCTGGGGCTCCCACCTTGCCAGGCACCAGCAAACACACACTGGAGAAAGGCCCTACAGCTGCCTCAAGTGTGAGAAGAGCTTTGGACGAAGACATCACCTGATCCGGCACCAGAAAACTCATCTCCATGACAAGCCCAGCAGGTGCTCTGAGTGTGGCAAGAATTTCCGCTGCAACTCCCACCTGGCCAGCCACCAGAGGGTGCACGCAGAAGGCAAATCCTGTAAGGGCCAAGAGGTAGAAGAGAGCCCCGGGGCTCGGAAACGACAACGTCCTCCACCGGTGCCAAAGTGCCATGTGTGCACTGAGTGTGGCAAGAGCTTTGGCCGGCGGCACCACCTGGTGAGACACTGGCTGACCCACACCGGGGAGAAACCCTTCCAGTGCCCTCGCTGTGAAAAGAGCTTTGGCCGCAAGCATCACCTGGACAGGCACCTCCTGACTCACCAAGGACAGAGTACCCGGAGCAGCTGGGACAGAGGGACCTCTGTCTTTTGAAATCTGTTTTTGCTGCAACTGTGATCACATCTATTAGTTGGTGCTATCAGGAGTCTCTGACAGAACCACTCACGTCCTGCATCTCAGGGGCCACAACCATGACCCCTGACCCCTGATAAGATCCCAGCATTGACCAGAGCATTTCTCATCACTTCTGTGAGATAACACATAAAACAGTTCTTTGGGGAATAGTTTTGGGAAACAATGTATACTGCCATGGGCCTGAGCCCATCCTCAAGGGTCAGTGATAATCCAGCAGTTCATGGCTAAGGCCCATTCTGACTGGTTGGAGCCTATGCCACATCATTTGTTTGTTTGATAGTTCAACTATCACCCTTGCATACTATAACCATTATATGATAGAGGAAGGCCATATCAGCATATTAAATTCTCTGTAAACATATGCAGGAAAGCAAGTTGTTAAGTCTCTTTTAGTGCAGTGTTTCCTAAATGTACTTGGCCTCAATATCCTTTCTACCTTATATCCCACAGAACTAGTGACTCTACGAAACACTCTGGTGACCACTGGGTCAGAGAGTGAGGAAGGAACAGGTGATCAGGCACTCAGAGCTCCCCTTTTTTAATCCCAGTGATAGCTGAGGGGCAAACTCATTCCATGTGGGTCCATCACCTTTATCCCAACCATCCAATACATGTCTACACTTTTCACTCCCAACCATTGAAAAATAGAAACATTAATCTTTATCCCTGTTCCAACTCCATTCATCCTGCACATAAATTTATCCAGCTGAGAGAACATACTACAATACTGAGAGATGGATCTTATATCCCCAAGAAACCCACACCCACACAGAAGGAAAAAACTATCCCCCTGAACATACCCATCTCCTCTGACTGTGTCTTTATGTGTCTGTGTATCTGTGTGCAGGGTCTTTGAAGAAAGCATGCAAAGTGCAAACTGTACAAGCTAGATTTTCTAGGGACTGTGTTCTGGGAAGAGGGTAGTGGGTATTATATAGGGCTTTTTTTGTTGTTTTGTTTTAGGGTAGAAAGTAAGCTGAACAATTGAGAGCCCTAGTAGCAGGGCTCTGTGACGATTTCGATGTAGAAGTTGAGGTTTCCCCAGCTGTCACTGACATCAAGACAACTATAGATCTAGATCTGTCTGGACCACAGATAATTTTTGTGTGGGAGGAGACAGACTTTAGTGAGATAAACTAGCTCTCACTGATGGCAAGCAAGGTACCTAAGGAAGTTTGGTCATGATTGGTGTTTTCTCATTTTGTTTAAAGATCTGGGAAATCAGGGCAGGGATCAGTGTTTGCAAATTGTCTTCACCCTTGTTTGCCCTTGATTGCCTCCTAAGGGGCAGAATCCTGGAGGATTTCAATTCTTTCAGACAGAACTTTAAGGGGAATGGCTATGGTTTAGCTTTGCAGCTAATGCAGGGTAATGAGCTTTCCAGTTGGTTTTCCTCCCAGTTCCGGGAAGTTGTCCACACTGAGATACAACTCCAGGACTTGCTAAGTATTCTAGCATCTGATGGTTGATGTTTAGTCATTGTTTTTCTTCATTAATAATGTATTAATACCAATTCTGTAATTTAAAAATTTATATGTAGTGGCAGTTTGGAGCCCAGGAAAGAGAGAAGAACAGAAAATAAAAGTGGGAAGTTACCTCTCTGCTGCTTAGATTCTGTTTCCACCCTCCACTCCACCACCCAAAGACATTAATTTCTCAACCACAGAAAAAAGTGAGTTCCAACAGTCTAGCTTAATGAGTGACCCATTGCTTGGTAAAAACTGCTTGAATCATTAAATGGAGTTAAAAATGGGCTCATTTTGCTAACAAGTTTTCTTAGAGGAGCAACCCAGTCCCACTTATCCTTCTGCACAGAGTAACCTTCCTTCTTTGTCTGAAATAAATGCTTTTTTTTTTTTTGCTCATATTCCTGTGAATAGAGCAAAGTGGCCAGTCTTGTAAGGTGGCTTTGTTCCAGGTCCTCAGACAAGAGCATTTTAGGATCAGTATTTAGAGTTGCTCCAGGGAATAGGAAGGTCCTGGATTCCAGTGGTAAAGTTGGCTTACATCATTTATCTTGTAATCCCACTATGCTTCATTGATGCAGATTAGCATTATGTAAACATTTGAGAACCCATTTTGGATCACAGACCCTTTCAGAATCTAGTGAAAACCAGAACCTCAATTTGGAGGAAAATAAGCATTAGCAATTTACTCAATTTGGCATCCAAATTTAGAGCCTATCCAGGAATCACTAAACTGGGATCAAAGGGCATCACCCTGACCCACTAATATTTTGTCAAGAAATACAAATCAAGGATCACTAAATGTTTTAAGGATTAAGATACCAGGAGCAGTAGGGTATAAGAATAGTCTGGTCTCAGATAACCAGAGGGTATTGCTTACATTATATTCCATGTTTTAGAAAAGATATGCTGACAAATCCAGCTCACAAATTGACAGGAGGTGACTCTCCTTACTGTCAGGTCACCATTCTTAATAACCACATGTATGTTTACCCCAGCTTTTGATCTGCCTTAGTAATTGTAACAATAGAAAGTGAAGCCTCCAAAGTGTTAAGTACAGTCCTAGCGCCCAGTTGAAGAACATCATGGACTCTAAGGTTTTTTTGCAGAAGCAGCAACCCATTTCACTCTGGTATACCACTGTCTTCTCTACCTCTGTCCAACACCTTTTCCCTTGGATAAAAAAATAAAATAAAATAAAAAAGCAGCAGTGATTGGATGGGTATTTAGAGTTGAATGATTTTTCCCAGAGGGAATCAACCTCAGACTCCAATCTTTCACCCAGCTCCCTTATGCTATGTATCCACCCTTTAAATAAAAAATAAAGTCTCTGTGTTCTTTCTGGGCAAAGTGTAAAATAGGAAAATCCATCTTCAGGAACTCTCTGGTGCCTATTCCCTATTTAGGGTTGAAATATCCTCCTGTTTTCCATCCCATCAAAGTATCTTTGGTGAATATAACCCTAAGTAGTAGCTATTCCCAGAGCTTTGCATTGTTGTGGCAGTGAGATATGTGATATTATGCCTTCAGGGAGTTAAAAGAATGATAATTTGAAACAAAATACATCCCTTTCCAGTAATCCTGCAATCACACCTTCAAGAACAATGTAAGCCCGATGGAGAACCAGAGGTATCAGGCAGGTTCTTTCCATCTCTTTTCAACTCGATATTCTGGGAGGGGGTGAGTGGAACTGGGCAATACCAGAAAATTATTTCCTTTGAGGTCTAAGCTAGCAAAATTTCCTCCAGCTGCCTGGAGTGCTAAGTTTGCCTCCATCTCAAATGTGGTCTTTGAACCAGCAACTTCAGTATCAGCTGGCAACTTGTTTTAGAAGTGCAAAATATTTTGTATAACCATATTTTATTTTATTGAACTTACTAAATATTTTTCTAAGTCCTTGCTAAAAAAAAAAAAAAAAAGATGTTAAAGTGGCAGTGTTTTATATCCTTGTGTTTTGACATCATAGGGTTTAGCCCCTCCAGTGGAGTCAGCATAGGGCTCCCACCATACCCACAGCACTTCCCTCCATGACAGCACCCCACCTTCTCATCCCTCACCTCCACCTCTTCTCAAATCCAGACCCTTGGATTTCAGCTACCATGTGTTATTTTAAAGTTTGTCTTTGGCCACTTGGTTTTTCTCTAATTGTTACCATTTAGTATTTTTCTTTTTCCTGGTTTTAGAAATGCAAATGCTTAGGCCTGAACCAGACTAACTGAAACCAAAGAGTCTAGCAGTGACCCTTCACACAAGCTTTCTGAGATAGCTGATACAGGCTAAAAGCTGGAGAACCATTAGCTACAAGATTCAAATTCCATTTCAGGCAGTGCCTTACTCTCTTCAAACAGGAAGAGGAGGAATCTTCATACTTCTTCTTGTCAGATTTATTTCCTATAACCTCTGTAGGCCAGTCGTTCAGTTGGGTTCCTTAAATCGGTGAAAAGATTTGGATTAGCCACCAAATTTCAATAATTGGTGGGCCAACTACCAACCTACTGTGATTGGTAAAATGAGCATATCTTAATTTCAAGAATCAGAAATCCAAAAGGACAAGGAGCAGAAATTCATTGTAAAACTGAGAAACTGACCTCCAAGAAAATGGTGCTTCTGTCAATAATTATCTGGTTCTTTTCTAGGCCCAATTACTTACCCTGGAGGCAAGAGGGCTTGAGAGGAGAGTATGCAGCACAGAGATAGAGTAAGACCTGTGTACTCAAACCCACAAGGATCTAAGTTTCCAACCTCACAATTGAAATGAAACCCAGGAGATGGGGAAGGGAACAAGGCTAATTCAGTAAGATGTGACAAAGCAAGTGGAATCTGGAATCTGTCTACAAGGGTAGAGCCGGGTTGCCTAAGTCAAAAATGCAATATCCTCTTACCTTATGAAGGGGCAGACCCTAGCCCTCTACCTTCCATCTCCTCTCCTAGGCACACCCATAGGGCAGACTGAACCGGCAGCTGGAAACCCTCCCCTCCTCAGGGGTTCTTCAAGGTCAGAAGGATAGAGTGGATCTAAGTCCCTTTCGGGCACTTTGCACTAAGAAGAAAAGCATGGCTACGAGTCAACCCCCAGCCTGAGGCTTTCTCCCCTCTTTGCTGTTGCCACCTCTAATGAGCAGCCTCTTCCACACCACTGCTTTTCAGTTTGTTTTGACATTTTCTTTGCCTGGGGAACAGCATATCCTTTCTAGATGTTTATTCTACTTAATCCCTCTCCTCTTTCCATTATAGTTTCTGTCTTCAAGGTCCTGGATAGTTCCACCCCTTCCTGAGCCCACTTCACTACCTGACTCTGCGAGGTTCTTTTTTGTCAGCAATAAGTCTGCTAATCAGGGTCCATTCCTTATACCTCCCACTTTCTTCCCTCAGTTTCTAGGCTAAAGCAGTTCAGCTGCCAAGGCTCTCGCTACTCTGTGCCTCTTGCCCTTGTGCACATCCCCACACATCCGGACTGCCAAGGTTACCAGTACTATCAAATCAAGGTCTTTACTGTGTTCCCTTTCCCACTAGGTAAATTCCAAAATGGCTTTCCACTTTCTATTATTTCTATATTCTCAGTCCCTCTGTCTCCTTTGGCTTCTTCGAAGTCTCAGTTCTACAGACCACTCAGCATACTTACCATGTGCCAGGAGCTGACTGTTCTAGGTCAGGGAGACAAAGTGTGAGCAAGGTCTCTACTCACCATGTGTCTCAGTCGAGTCCTCCCTTGCCACCACTTTCCTGCCAGGCTTCGTGACTCTGAGCCAAGGCACCCCCTTCCAGGATCTTTGGGGCATATGTCCATTTGCATGTAGCCCCTGTCTGTTACATTTGTTTCTCTTGTCTGGCTTGGTTCTCTTTGATGGACTGTGAACTTCCTACAGACTACCCAACAGGAGACCCTTGTATCCTTAAGGATCTGTAATATACCCTTTGTGGCCCTGTGAGTTGAATAAAGAATGTGATGTATTAACTGTTGTCAATCATTTCCTCTCTGTTCTCCCCTCCATTCTCACATCTCTACTGATAAAAAGGCTGCAACAAAGTGGGGGGTGGGGGGCACCAGACAGCTCATGGGAGAGTAAATCATGCACATAACCCTCACAACCCTTACTGAAACAGAAGCCTCAAGACGCTTCCGATTAGGCCTTCTACCTCTTTTCTAGTGTCCTAGCTCCCAGATACTGTTCCCCCAGTTAAATCCAACCTGGAAATGGGACAGAAAGCAGATTAGCAGGAGATCCATATGCAGGACAGTGCCTCAGTATGGTCGCATAGAGCACAAATTTAAGCAGGATCTCTGCCTCAGAGTCATTCCACACCCTTGATGTTGAGCCCAATTCTGGAGCCTGAGGTGGTGGTGAGTACAAACCAACCTCCTAAGTAAATTCCAGTAATTGAAGAGAGTTGGGGAGAAGAGGCATCCACACAGATAGGGTTGGCTAGGAACCCAATCCGCCAGAAGCATTCAACTTCAAGGATGAAGAGGATGTGTATCTGACCGAATAACAAAAGCACAGGGTAAGAAATAGTGTAGGAGAACAATAGAAAAGCTGGGGAATCTACCAGCTGTTGATACGGGCCCTGGAAAGTCTCAGGTGTGAGCATTTGAGCACAACCCAAAAATTAAACTTCCTCCACTGGAGTACCTTAAAGAGCTTCTAGCTGACTGTTTTGAGGAATGATGCTCAAATACCTTGTAACAGCTTTCTGAACACCAGCCAGCTATTTTGTTATCTTCATGTTTTCTATCCTTCCTGTTTTCTCGATTTCACTCACACACTTATAGGAATACTTTTGCCATGGCTGCTCTTTCCCCAGACAAATAGGGGAGGAAGGAAGGCACTGACCAAAGGGGAAGGAGAGACAGAACACACCAATTGTGGGTCATCCAACTCCAGTAGACAGTTGGAACCTTGAGCTCCTTCTCCTAAGCCATCTTCCAATGTCTTACTCAGCCTCAAACATGGCCTCATGCTGACAATCCCAGATCCTTTTCATTTTTAAGTCTTCCAGATCTTTCTCATTTTTAAGTCTTTTCCTAGCATGGTTCCCCTACCCAAATAATCCCTCTTTCTGCCTTTGCTAGCACTAAGATTCTTGCTGGAATGATTTCTAGCCCAACCATGCAGTCTGGTCATGTTATAGTTTCCAAGAGCAGGTCAAACAGGAGCAGTCTTTTGCTCTGAAATCATTGACAAATGAAAGTGTCTGAATAGAGCACACACACACATATATCCAAAATATGTTTGAGAACAATGCTGCACAAGAAGCCTCTAAATCATTAAAACACTGCAGAAATACCAACATAAGATGCCTTATAGAATTAATGAGTAGCAGATGAGTTCCCATTCAACATCAATACGTGAAATGAAGACAGTATGAGAGCAGTGGATTTACAGTTTCTAGGGCACTCCCTAGTGCACAACTTGTTAAAACACAGCACTGCAAGCTAGCTGCAGCGGCTTCAGTGCAAGTTTTATCCCCCACTCCAGAGGTGATCCACATGACCCAGCAGACCTCTCCTGGCCCACCCGATGCTCCCTTCAACAATGTACTTCATTGATCTGCCTGTTTTTCTCCTCACTCTGTCTCTGGTGAATCCTCTCCCCACCCCTGCTTCTCTGACCTATATCCCAGTTCTGTATACATAAATAAATCTTAAAAAATAAAACTTTTTAAAAAGTCATTTTCTAAATTCCGTATTTTCTAAACTTTAGCTTTTTCATGTAAAATCTACCTTTGAAATCAAGGTTAAAGTGAAATGAAATAATTCATGCAAAAGTACACCACCTTACAAATGAAAAAGCAGTAATTGATAATTGCATGGAAATCTCTACCTTTTGAACATATTGAAGTTTATGATTCTGAAAACAAATATAAAAAACATATACCAGAGTCTATTTCTATGTGTCCCTTTGAACTTCCATCACTTTTCCTTTGAGAATAACTTAGTTTTTTGTTTGTATCTATCATTACTTCCTTTATCTAATTACAAGTATTTCCCTTCATTCATCAATATTTTTTTTTCATTTATTGTGTGTTGGGAAGCTTTTCATAATATGGAAAGAAGCTCCCTCTTTTTGCAACAACGTACTATGTTACCATATGAAATCTTCATAGTTTAACTGATCCCCAAATGATACTTAGGTTATTTCCATTTTTGTGTTGTTGTTGTTTAGGTTACTACAACATTGCACTAAACATCTTGAGATGTCATTTCACAAAAGCACTGATATTTAAAAAATAAATTCCGACCCTCCCTGGTGGCGCAGCAGGTTAAAGCACAGCACTGAGAAGCTAAAGCCACTTCGGCATGAGTTCAATCCCTGCCTGCCCTGGAGGTGACCACATGGCATGGCAGACCTCTCCTGGCCCGCCCACTGCTCCCCTGGGCAGTGTACTTTGTCAATCTGCCTGTTCTGCTCCCCGCTCTGTTTCTGGTGAATCTTCTCACCCTCCGCATCTCTGGCTTGTACCCCAGTTCTGTATGAATAAATAAATAAATCTTAAAAAATAATAATAAATAAAAATAAATTCCTAAAAAACTGATGAAGTGGCCCTCCCTGGTGGTGCAGGGGGTTAAAGCCCAGCACTAAGAAGCTAAAGCCACTTC